TGAATCGCTTTACCAGCAACGTTTATTAAATATGCTCTAATTCCTCTTTCTGCTGGATTTTGTTTGCACGATTACCACGATGCAGTAACCAGCAGCATATCTGTTCTGCCGTCGACGGCAGAGAAGTCTCTTCGCTGTCAGATCCAGGCTTTCACGTCCGAGAGGATCTGGCATTTATAAAGCTTTTAAATTATTTCAACTTAACCTCAAGGGTACAAAACTACACAACACTGGTTACATCAAAAGCACTAATGCTATAAGTATGAAGAAAATACATATAATATATGAATAAATAAATAGGTCAAACTGAAGATCAGAGATTTGTGGCTGACTTTCAGTTTGCTAGGTTTGTTCCCGATTTTAGCAGATTTCTCTTAGCAAATATTGAATGATAATGAATATTTTCCCAAACATCTCTGCTTAAGGGGTCAGTAAGAATTGGTAATGGAGGCGTATCCGCCGCACATAGAGGATACGTCATCGTTCGTCTTTATTTCCATAAATGCCAGATTTATGTTGTTTCTCATTTGCTGACAGTTTTGATATTTACTGTAAAAAAATAAAAAATAAAAAATTTTCCTGAGGAAAAAGAAGCACAAGTTTCTGAGATTTCTGTTCCCAAAAAGGAAAAAGTTAACTCTGCTTATACGTTTCGCTTCTCAACTGCTGCACTGCTTTGTTTTGGTCTGTTGCGTCAAACGACAATTAAACGAAGTGAAATGTGAGGCTACAAAGTTGCACCTGCTGCTGGCGTTCCCACTAAAACCAGGAAGACTGAGCATCCAGTTGTAAAAGCTCCCCGCTGCTTCCCTGCAGCTCAGAGAATAAACCTTAAAATGATTCTGTTAGTTTATAAATCACTGAACAGCTTAGCACTAAAACACTAAATTTCATAAGGATAAATCTGCCTCAGGAGATGGAAAATACGATGGTATTGTGGTCCCTGGATCAAATTTATTTAAGACCTTTGTCTCCAACTTTCTACTTTGTTTGTAACTATGTAAATGTCACAAACCTTGAGTCAGGTTTGATGAGCCACTTTTTCGAAAATCTGTCCACTCATCTAATTCCAAGTTGCTCCACTTTAATGTGTCGCGACTAAATCGACGGTTTCATAAATCTCAAACTGTGACATTGATGATACTGACCGCCTTAGCACCATGATACATTAGAGAACTGCTGCAGTTCCAGGCCTCTGAGACTCTGGTTCTGGAGAACCAGAACCAGAACCAAACATGGACAAGCAGCTTTCAGCTTCCAGAGCAAACTTCCAGAAAACCGCAAAACACTGAATTCCTTTAAATGAAAGCTAAACCCCATCTGTTGACAGCTGCCTTTGATTAGTAGTAAGTGAATATTGATCGACATATTTGACGTTGATGACATTGATGATGGCATTTGACGAAATGTAACATTTATTGCTTGTCTGGTTGTTCCTGTTTGACGTTGTTATGGTGTAAATCGCTTTACCAATAAACTTGACTTGACACTTTGGGCCTCACTGTAACTCCAACCATTTTCTCTGCAATTGAAATGAAATCCGAAGAATACACATACGCGTATGCGTTCCCTCGGTAAGACTCAAGCAATTCGAGCTAATGACGCGCGGCTGCAACGTGCCGATCTCGCACACATCAACTCGACGAACCACCGGAGGAAGACGCTCATTAGACGGGACGGTCATTACGGCGGGAGGCGTTTAATGCTCTGTTAACTGCACCGACTTGTAGAGCCGCGTGTCTCTATCTGCAGAACATCTCTGCTCTCAGTCTGACCATTTTTTCTGGCAACCTTCAGGCTCAGGTTTTCTGTAAGTGCTTTGATCTCTGATGGACGGGATCATGGCACCCCGGCAGGTAGCTCTCGACGTTTTCAGCCCATAACCCCTGCAGCCCACTGACAAGGTGAGAAAATCTGCAAAGAAGAGACAGGAAGTGACTGCTTCCACTTGTGTCCTGACTGACAGCTGAGTTGGGGGGGGGAGACCGTGTAGTACATGCAATGTGAAAGAGGGGGAGGACTGGATGTCTGGGGGTGTTTAGGGTCACATTTGCGGGAAGGTGCGTCTCCAGAGCACCCTGGTGTTGCCTTAACAGCGACGCTCAAATCAAAGCACAGCCGCGCCACAGGGAAATGGAGTCTGAGACGCAGAGCTGTCATCGTTTAGGCTATAAATCTTTCAATTCCAACCCCGACTGCACCCCACCCCTCCACCACCCATCTGTACATCCGGGTTGCAGAAGCCGCCTCTCCGCAGGAAGGTTTATTTCTCCCGAGGAGAACGTTTGCGGATTTTGGCGCCAGGAAAGCCGGGTGGGGAAATAAATCAGAGCTCATAGCAAGTATTAATTTGACAAGTCAGGAACAACGCGGGCGTCGGAAATAGGGCAGAGTGAGGTGTAACGACAAGTGTGTGTGTGTGTGTGTGTGTGTGTGTGTGTGTGTGTGTGTGTGTGTGTGCATGTGCGCTCCTGTGGTCACTGCTAATGAACTCGGTGTTTGATTTGCTTGTGGACACAACTTTCAGTAGTGTGTTCACTAAAGCCTCTTGTGTGAACACAAACATGGAGCGTGTGTGAAGACGCCAGGGGCATCAGCCGGGGGAGGGGCGGATAGAGGGGGTGCAGAGCCGGCCTTCGTGTTTTTATACCCAACCTCTTTCATTTAGGAACGTAAAATTAGGACATGGAAGGACAAGTCGGTAAGTTGCAGCATTTATTTATTCATTGTCCGGCTAAAGGGGCAACTTTACTTCATGTTATAATGTTTCCTCATCAAAATCACACCCGGAGCATTACTTGATTCTTTCATGAATGTTTGAGAAACCCTTTAATTTCCTGTGGCAACCATTCACTAGTGCAAAACGCCTGGTTGGACCCAGCCACCCCAGACCAGATCTGCAGTTTTCAAGCTCTAGAGGTTCCCCCTCACAGAGCAGCCCTCCCCCACTCAGTTCCTTCAGGCTAGCCAGCAGCAATTAGCAAACAGCGCATCTGCTGAAGCAACACAATGGCGCATTATAGAAGCTACTTCTGTGTAATGCTGGTAAAAGTATTGTTAAATGTTTTTTAAAAGAGAAGCCATGTAGTGATGACTTCCTGAAGGTGGAGCTTCAGTGAGAGCAGGAGCTTCTTAAAGAGACAGAACCCCAATTTCAAGACGTCAAATTACAAAGTCAACTTTCTTTTAAGCCATATATGATATAAACCTCATAATGCTATGAGATGGCACTATGTGCCTGGAAAACACATTTCAGTTTGGTTGTAAGACACCTGGCCCCTTGCTTACAGCAACACCTGAAAAAAATTGTTGGACATTATACAAAAATACATTTTCCATCAAATCATCAATAAAAGTATCATCAGCGAACGGAAACCCAGAGTTCAGTTTCCCACACATTTAACATTTTTAAATAAAACAACCAAAATGCAAAATTTCATCTCAAAAATATGCGCCTTTCAAAACAGCATGGGCCTGTTCTGGGTAGAACATGCACCTGTACACTTGGCTCGGGTTTCTTTTGAATCCATTAGACGAAGGGGCTCAGCCCGTTGCCTTGGCTTCCTTAATGGAGGACTTGAGCTCATCTGCATTGTTGGCTCAGGTGTCTCCCATCTCCTGCTTGACAAACGTCCAGAAATTCCCTGTCGGCCTCAGTAGGGACACTAAGTGACTCCACGGTTGTTCCGGCCGGTCAGCAGGGGGCGCCGTCAGGTGCTGCAGGGTGTGGAGTTGGATGGGATTTCACTCATTACCGTCTGGATCTCTGAAACTCGTACTTGGTGCCTCTCCACTTTTGCTCCACATTTTGGGATCTTGGCTTTCAAACAAGGAACAAAATTTTAACTGAATTTGACAAAACAAAAGATTTTGTGCACTGGGCTACCGTCCAGTCCTTTTTCTCCTGGAAGTTGCTTCTTAAGGTTTTGTCTGCCTCAGAAGTGGCCCAGGCTATTCTCTAATGACCGTTTTGTCTTTTCCCCCACATTTTTTGTTTCCTTCCACTAGACTTTCCATTGTTATTCCTGACAGCAGTCAGCTGCTTTCAGAGTGATCGGATGGCCAGTCCACCTAGTGATTGTGTAGGCATAAAACAGCTACTGCACTTTTGTACTAAAAGTAACGTTTGATTCAGATTTTTTTGATTGTAATATTCACATTTCCAAATCAAAAATTGTTTAAAATTACATAATGGATTTTTTTTCCTCATATTTTCATATGTTCAGGGGATCAACTTCTAGTTGTGCTCGGTTTCTTTATAAACAAAAAGAAAAGCAAAACAAAGAAATCTGTGATCACTGAAGCAACAACAAACTTTGTCGTGACATTCTTGTTTATGTAGATGCACCTGTAGTTGAGATGGATTTTTCCAACTGCCAAAACGACCAGCCGGCCCGCCGCTAAGGCCGCTCCATTTTCAAACTTTCTGGAGCCGCCCCTGGCTCAGGCAGCTCCCCCACACCCCCCCGCCCCTTGCTGCGCACAGCTCTGCTCAGGAAACCTAAATCACCTGCAGAGGCAGGTGCACACACGCGCCTCACATCACGCGCTTTTCCGACATCCGCGCGCGCGCACACACCCACGCACAGCGACACTTTGACTCACACTTATCCCCACTCGCGTGTCAAAATCCAGCACACACAAAAAAAAAACTATGCAAAAATTGTAATTTTCCTCCAAATACGCGCAGAGCATCGTGTCCTGAATGCAACTTAGCGGGGAAATAAAGCCTCTCAAACTGTCGGGCGCACAGCAGGTTGCGCTCAGATTTACATATATTTTGTTTCATTCCTCTACTGGCGGCTGATTCTGCGGGGAAATCCTGCATCCAACTTTGTAAGGACGCCGCTAAGAAGCTCCGTAATGAGCGCAAAGACGAGACCGAAAATCAGGTCAGACAGCCCGCCGCTCTGCAGCGAGCATCCCCGCGGCTCCACGCGGCTCCCCGCCGCTCCCCGCATTCATCCCGCACAAGTTCGGCCGCTTTCGCTCCAACTTACCGATGAGAGCCAGATGGAGAAAGTACAGTCCGAGGAAGTCCATAACGGAGGAATTCAGATGGATGCAAATCCCGGCCAAAGAGACAAGGCGTTGCGCCGCGATGAGGAGAATAATAGCAATTAAAAAAAAGAAGAAGAAGAGGAATAATAATAATAAAATAATAAAAAAATAAAAACAGGGCTCCCGTCCTTCTGCTGTAATTGGCAGCGAAATTAAAGAGCGGAAGAATCGCAGCTATTTCTCAAGTGATGACTGGCCACTTCCACTGACGCTGAAATCCACAGCAGTGCGTGAAAAAACAGCAGCGGAGCCGAGCAGCATCTTTTCTTTTCTTTTTTTTTTTTCTTTAAAGGAGTCAAACTTTTTCTTTCTTTCTTTCTTTTCCCTTTTATTTCCAGTCCTGAAGGCGATTGTAGCTCCGAAATTCACAACAAAGATGCTGGGAACGTTTTTTTTTTGTATGTAGGCTATATATAAAAATTAAGAAACATAATTAAATATATATATATATATATTTTAAAAATGATGTTTTGTTTCAAGTCTTGCGCCTATTGAACATCCCTGACTGTTTCATCAGATCCGTCCCGCGGCTGTTTGCTCTCCTCTTCGCCTCCACCTGGAAACTGCGGATGAATCACTGAATCACTGGCGCGTCGCTTTTTCCTCCGATTCCTCCCCACCTCTTCTTCTTCTTCTTCTTCTTTTTCTCCTTCTTCTTCTTTTGCGCTTTCCGACAATGAGAGGCAGCCCGTGTGATCCTCGGCTGCTGGGTGTGGGGGATTTGGGGTGAGGAGGGTGATGGGGTGCCCCAGCGCCTTTAGAATAAAAATAGTACTACTACTACTAATAATAATGATGATGATGATAATACAAAAAACTGTGGGGAAAAAAATTCAATCCCGGCCAAAGAGTTGAAACAGGGCGAGTGAAATCGATAGCCTATTTCACACAGCCATAAAATGGAAATAACAAAACTGGAAAATGGTGCATAGCCTGTGCAGGAGGCTGTGAGTGCAGTTCATCTGCTCTTTCACCTCAAAGTGGAGTTGTTGTTGTTTTTATTCCATCTTGTTTTGTTTTGTTTTTTTTTTAAAAAAAAAAAAGGAAAAGAAAGAAACTTGCAGTAAAATTGAATAATTTGATGTGTGAGGAAGCGACATCATAACTGTGTCACCATAAAGAGCCTCATCTGTTATGGATTGTTCTTTAATAACCTCATGATGCATCTTGACCTTTTTTCTTTTTTTTTCTTCCTCCAAGCGGATTGTGCAACACTTAACATCAATGAGTTTTGGAGAAAAAAAAAAAAAGAAATTGGTCTTTAAGTCTTGAATTTTAGGCAGTTTGTTCTAGAACCTCATTGGCCGCTGACTTAATATGTACAGCTGAAGCCAGAAGTTTACGTACACACATAAACAGACACACACACACAAAATAAAAATTCTTCTACTACACTCATCTAGTTTTAGGTCCGTTTGAACGACCAAAATTATATCAATTTGCTAAATGTCAGAGTAATGTGAGAATCTGTCAAAGATTTATTTATTAACGTCTTCAAAATCGAAGGCCAGATGACGATGAACTTCTGATTCATGGCTTCAATCACTTACACCTGAGTGCAGACATGATGGGAATGTCAGCCATAAAGTTTAGGTCCAACTGAGTCTTCCAAATGGACACTAAGCATTCAGGCAGTACTGCATGAAGACCTGACACCAAGCTGATGGATTAGAGCACAAACTCTTGAGCAAGGCATTCTTGTCCAACACCAGTGTCTGACCTCACTCATGACTCTTAAACGCCGCGGAAAGCCTCAGCAGATACGTAAAAGGTGCAAAAGGTAGGACAACACGTCCCAAATAGAGGGTCCCTCATCAGAGACATACATGCAGTAATGCCTCATTCTTTCATGCATGTTTGAGAAATTTTTGATCTCCATGCCAAAACGCCTGGGTGGACCTAGCCCCACCTTGGACACGCTGCTCCTCCTCTGTAGCTTCTGTGCTTTCGACTCACAGAGTCCTCCCATTCTCAGCTCCTTCAGACTAGCCAGCAGCATTTAGCAAACACCTTACGGAACGGTGCATCTGCTGAACTCATTATAGGAGCTACTTCTCAATGCAACAATGGTAAAGACGTCATCAGAGGGTCAATAGAGGAGCCATGTTGGGATCACTTTCTGAAGGTTGAGTCTCAGAAAGAGCAGGAGTTTTTAAAGAGACAGAGGCGCAATTTCAAGGTGTTAAATTACAAAGTCGAGTTTCTTGTAAGTCATATTTGATATATAGCATTTTTATAACGATTGAAGGTAACATAGTTGCTCAATTTTGCTGCAAAATGATACCATGTGCCCAGAAAATACATAATACCTCCACCTTAAGAAAGGTACATCATGTGAGTTTATACTTTAGGTGTATTTGGATTTGTCTGAATAGATGAAAGTAAATTCACATTAAATTCAAATTCCCACCGAGTTCCTGTTTGTATCCTGCATCAAATTCCACCTGAAGCGTCACGTCAATTCTGCAGGGATGTAAACCTAAAGCCGTCCACAGAGCGTCCTCACGCTCTCCTTTCAAAACAAAACCAAGAGTAATCTATTTCCATCTGGGTTTTTGGGGCAGCGGCAGTGATTGACGCATTAGGCAATCTTTACTGTGATTATTTTGAGACGTAACCCACTTTTTTCCTCATCTTCTGCTCCACGCGCCCGGAACATCCCGGTTTAGATCCGGGAGAGGCCGCGCGTCAATGCATCAAGGCGCATTAGCCCGGAGTCGCACGCGTGTGCGAACAGCCGCTTTGCGTGTTCGGTTCTGACATCACTTTTCAGGTTTCGGCCAGAGTCTGAGTTTCCTTTCAAGCTGTTAAAGCTCTCGCAGCTGACAAATTAAAATTTGAGCAGTGGCCCTGTTGGGAGTTGTTTTCCCTCCTCGAGTCTATTCTTGGAAGTTTTACAGCTTCTCATTGACACTTTTATCTGAACGCTTGCTTGTGCAGTTGGTAAAAAGAAGAAATAAAAAAAAAATGCCAGATATGGAAATATAAGAAAATTGACACCAATTTTTTTTGTAAAAGAAAATAAAAGCCTCAGACGCCACAAGCCTCTTTTAAGCCATCTAGTCTTTTGAAAGGGAGTGTGGGGACAGTGTGACTCTGACGATCTGGTTGCTCAGACAGTGGGAGGGCTGAGAGTAGAGACTCTGCAGGGGGTGAGATGCGTCTGGGTGGATTTGTGAGAATTCCTCACAGCCCGCCGCAGTCTTTGTCGTCGATTTCTCCACTGAAAAGCCAAACTGTGTCTTTCGGCGTCTTTATATCCGTGGGGTTTTCTCGGCGGCCCTGCGGATGCTTTCAATTACTTCAGGGTCCAGACATTTTCTCCAAAGCCAGCATAATATTTAAACACTCTTCCAGATCTTCCAGGTGCCAAGCATGGACCAGGACAAGATGGAGAGTGAAACGTTTCATCCAGTGGAAGCGTGACTTACACAAAAGTGGCACAAGACAAAAGTGCCTTGCATTTTTTTCATCTAATCGTCTAAATAAACATTTAAGGGTGGAGGATTCTGTATCTTTGGCCACTATAGAGTGAAACCCCTGAATGTAATGATTTGCATTAATAAATCCATATTTTCAGCAATACGACGTCTTTCGTAAATACAAATGGGCAATTTAGACTCGTGTCTAATTTTCTTTCCATTTCAGAACTGTGCACTACTTTGTCTCAATCTATCACATAGCTGTGCTTGGCAAGGTAACTGATGTGTGTTGGAGACTTTTAGGCACATTTTTGGAACTTCTTGCACTGTGTAGACTCAAGAAGAGGAAAAAAATAGCAACAGAGTCCAAGGGTTGGACTCCTTGGCGGTGGTCCAGAATCAGATGACCTGAGAACCTCCTCTGCAGGAACAACGAAACCTCGCCGCCTTGCTGTTGGGCAAACTTGCCACGGCAGGAGAGGACGATGCAATCGTTACTGGGGATTTCAGAACACTGTACGCCAACGTTCACCTCACCTCAACCCTACCTTCCTGTGAGCTTCTTCAAATGTACATCGTGTGCCAAAACCCCCCCACATCTCACTCTTATTCGGGGAGAAATGTCTCCTGCATCTGCGCGTCTCCATTCTTTGCCATTTAAAGCATTTGCCACTCTGATGTCACAACCCGGGAGACAATATGGGACACGTGTCTCGTGCGCCAGCCTTGAAGAGGCTTTCGATCCCCATGAGGTGCTAATTTATCTAATGTATTCGGTTTAACACCATCCCCTGCCTTGCTTCTTTTCATTAGAATTTACAGCATATCTCCACAGATTCTCAGTCTCACAGAGGCACACGGAGAGAATCTAGAGGGTGAAGAAGAGACGTGGGGGGCAGAGGGAGAGGAGGGCGGGGGAATGTGAGAGAACTGGCGCTACACCACCTACACAATCAAGCCAATTCAGTGCGACTCGACGTTCGCAATGGAGTCACTTTGTAGTCCTGCTATTGAGCGAGGACGGAGCTGAATCAGATGCTGGAGCTGCTTCCAAGGCCGTTCTGCACAAACAAAGTCTGGCTGGGCAACGGAGTTACAGTTACAGGATAATAACCCAAGGCTGACTGCAGTGCAGCTCTTCTGTTTGCTGCCATTCCTTTCACTTAGTATGTCTCAGTCTGCCACCCTCTCTCTCTCAGTCTTGCACTTTTTGACGTTCTCTTGCTATGTTTCTCTCAACATAGCTTTTTCTGTAATTCAATTATGAGTGTAACGTCGGTTATGCAGTGTTTAGCGGCTGTTTCCTGAGCAGGAGCCCAAGGCTGAACTCTTAGTCTTATTTGTGAGAACAAATGCTCTCGCTCAACATTTCATTAGGTGCAGGTGTTCTATAGTTTAGCATAAATAAATGACGTGGCAGCAACCTGACGCATGTAGGTTTTAGTGGTTGCAGAATTTCTTCTTTGTCTCTGGTGAAAGTTTAACCGTTTTTCCTGCTAACGCTAGGCACACGTTTGTTTTGGTTGCATTAACCTGGAACGCCCTGCGCTGTGGTCCCCTCCCTGCTTTTGGAGCGGTCTCCGGTCCACTTGGCATTCGCATGTGCATTTGAACCGCTCCAGAATTCACTTCGACTGAGCCGAGGTTGAGGTTTCTACACAAACCAGAGTTAGCTTTTTTTAAAAGTTTTTGGCCTGCAAGTTCGATTGCGCATTCTCGCTTCCTCAAACGTAGCGTGCATTCTAGCCGAGCGAACTAGAGTTGGATCAAAGCGGACTGAACAGGGCTGGAGAGAAAGCACCCCGAGTCACTTCACACATTTAGAGGAGGCGCATGAACCATGATTACTCTTTTCAGTGCTGAATACAATCTCAACGCACAACACATCATCAAACCATTCAGCAGATGGGATACGGCAGCTGAAGACCACACAGACAGCTGCTCCTGCCCGCTTGTTGCAGGCTGATCAGAATCAGATTGTGATCACAGATTGGAAAAGTGTTGCCCGGCCTAATGAGTCCGTAATTCAGCCGTAGCGTCGAGACGGTTGGGTCGGATGCGTGGAGGCGTGGGCAATAATCAGGAATATTTAAACGTCACAGCACCTGAATATTAACAATCATGTCACTGCATTTCCTGTTTGATCTGAAGGCTACTCCCGACTTGATGATGTCAACTGTCACACACTGATTTCTTGAATGTGATAAGAAGTTCACTGCA